CCCGACTCCATCAGCATTCCAGGAGCTCCCAGGGTGACACCTGGAGCACCGGGATGCTCCGGAAGCCGCTGCCCGTGGGGACACGCGGAGCTGGATGGAGCCGCCGCCACAAACCCCAGCGCCGGGACTGGGAGGAGAGCGGGGTCGTGGAGGAATGAGGGCTGTGTCAGATCCCACAGTTTCGCGGCGCTGGAGCAGCCGGGAATGCCGGGATGGAGCCGCCGCGGCTCCAGAGAGCAGAATCCAAGCGGGAAGAGCCGAACGGCGGAGATTTACGGCGCCGGCTCCGCGCAGCCCCCCCCGGGCCATTTGGCACGGCAGCTGCTGCCGGGGAACTTCAATGCCAAAATAAATTAAACGGGATAAAACGGCCTGGGCACCCTTGGATCGGGATGCCGCAGGAGCCGCGGCCGCGCGGGGCTTTGTCTGCGGGAAGGTGGGATGGGAGGGAGCCCGGGATGGCCCCGTGTCCCTTCTGGAGCAGCCCGGGAGCCGCGGGCAGGGGCCGGGAGGCTGGATTAGGGATCCATCCGAGTGCACGGGGCCCAGCTGCCCCCGCTCCATAAATCAGGGGAGGCCGGCTGGGTGCTGGGGGGCTCTGGCTCCCGCTCCCCCAGCGCAGGGAAGCACCCGGCGCCGCCACCCCCCCACCATCTGCACAGGGATATATTTTAAGACGTGTCAGCGCGGGGATGTTAAACCAGGCGAAAGGAGAGCAAGAAAGCCGGGGCTGGAACGGGGGGCGAGGGCTGGGCTCGGCTGGGGAGGGAGGCACGGGGGTGTGTGGGGGGATGGACCGAGCCCAGGGCCCCCCCTGCACCCCCTCAGCACCCCCTGCTCTCTCTGCCCTCCCACCACCCGCCCTCGGCCGAGCAGGAAGGAGCCGATGCTGGGGACACACAGAGCAGCACCTGCCCACGGGGCTCCTGCCATCCCAAATTCCTGCCCGGGGCAGGAGGACTGGGGCAAAACCCCCTCCGGGAGCCAGGCTGGGGCTGGGATCAGCACAGAGAAAGAGCAGGGAGGGATTTCTGCAGAGGAAAGAGAGGGAGGGAGGGATGGATGGAGGACACGGCCACAGCTCCATGTGTGTGCCCTCATGGCCCAGGGATGGAGCAGAATCCATCCCCTCCAGGCACCCCCGGCTCCTCTCCAGTGCCCAAGGGGCTGCCAGGAGCCGGGAGAAGGCTGGGAGGCAACCTTAACCTCAGTCCTTCCCTCTCCCACCTTCCCCTCAGCTCCAGGTTTCCTCCTTCTTTACTCTCACCCAAACCAAACCATCCCCTGCTCCAGCTCGGGCATCACCCACAACACCCCTCTGAGCCCCGGGGCTAACGAGGGCTTGGATCTTAATTAGCAGAGTGGAATTTGGGGGCTGAGAGGGGCTGGCGATGCCAAATCCCACCACCCTTCCCCGGAGGGCAGGAACAGGGAAGAAAAGGCTTTTTTTTTTTTTTTCCAAGGAAAAAACAGTTACCGTGTGACTCCAAAGGCTACTGGGGGGGAAAGCAACGCAGCAAAAGGCAACCAAGGAGAGATACAGTAACAGGAAATATTTAATTTTCCAATCTCCACTTCTCCATTTTTATAAACTGAAAAGAAAAAAGATTTTTAATATATTACAAAATATCTGTACAGAGACAAAGGTACAACCGAAAAAAGGCGCGCTCGGTCTCCAAAGGAAACTCGGGAGAGGTACAGTCAGAGTGTGACCAGAGGCTTCTCTGCTGGGAATTGCTACAGCGGGAGAGACGTCGGATTGACCCCAAAACCGGGATGGGGGGAAGGAGGGAGGAGCTGCCACCCCACCCCCCCTCTTTCTGTAACCTGCACCGAGGCTTAAATCCTTTTAAATGCAAAAAAATCCCCCTCCCAAACCAGAAAATCCTTTTGTCTTCTTTGTGCAGAGCGTTTGGGGGAAAAAACAAAAAAGGTAAAAATTAAAAATAGGGGGAAAAATAAAAGAAAAAGAGGTGGTGGGGGGACAGGAGTGGCCTCACAGCCCCCATGACCTGGTCAGGCTGGGCCCCCCCAGCCTCCCGTGGCCCTGGCAGGGGTTGAAAGGCTCGTGCTGGGACCAGTTAGGAAAGGCCAGTGGAGCTGGAATTGCGTGTCCCTCCTGGGGGGTTCAGGGGGTTTGGAGAAGGGAATGGTGGAACCACCTCCTGCAGGAGCCCAGAGGCCCCGTGGGGACAGAGGAACAGACACCTGGAATGTCTGTCCCTGGCTGGGGGTGGGACAGGGAAGAGGAGCCCCCCCAGCCCCTTCCCAGCCCCTGCTGGAACAGGGAGCAGGGGCAGTGGGCCCATGGGGAGGGGGGGACACAGCTCTCCCAGCTGGGAGAGACCACCCTGAACTGGGAGCAACCACCCCAAACTGGGACCAACCACCCCTAAACTGACACAAACACCCTGAACTGGGAGCAGTGACCCCTAAACTGGGAGCAGTGACCCCTAAACTGGGAGCAGTGACCCCTAAACTGGGACCCCAAGGCCGGGATGACACCGGCACTGAGGAGGGGGCAGAGCCTGTGGGAGAGGGCTCATTCCCGGCAGCTTTTCCTGGGAAAGTGCCAATTTGGAAAGACAATAAATAGGCCTCGTCTCCCCAAGAGGGTTCGGGCACAGGAACACGACTTTTCCTTCCAAATTGGATGGGATTGGGAAGGAACAACAAAAGCAGCAGCAGCAGCTCCCCGGCACCAAGAGCTGGCAGGAGCCAGGGAAGGGGAAAACAGGGAAATTCCCCCCCTTGAGAGGTGCCCGGTGGGTTCAGTGCACTGTGTGTCTCACAGAACTTTTGTTTTTTTCCTCTCTGCACATCAGGATAAACTAACAATTAAAAAAACCCCACAAAACAACCAAAAAACCAACAAAAAACCCCCACAGATTTACAGTGGGAATTCAGCAATTCAGCTCCTCAGCCCAGGCAAATAAAATCAAAATACATCCATTTCTATTGACTTTTCTCTCCCCTCCTTCCTCCCACGGCAGAGCTGGGTAAGGCAGGATTTCCCCAGGTGGAGAAGCATCACCTATTGAGGTGCAATTTATTTAAATTTCTCTCTCTCTCTGCATAAAAAGAAATTAAATCCTGTTAGTAGCAAGGCCCCCCCCCGGGTTCCTCCCCCCTCCTCCTTTAACACTCCAGAACTGTGGGCTCTAAAATTCAATGTTTTCCATAGGAAAGGCCTACTTGGAAACAAAAATAAAAAAAAAGCTGATAAATAGGTACCTTTGTTTTATTCATCTCTTTTTTTAAAGTCTCATTGAAATGAACAGCGCAAGGGTCTGCGGGAGGAGAAAACTCATCGTAAATACTTCCTTGACAACAACAAAAATAGAAAATATGCTGCTAGAAATGATACAGGAACACCTGGAAAAAACCTCACAGGGCTGAGACGTGACCGACCTCGTCAGGGTGGGCAGCACCAGCCCGGGATTCCGGGGGCAAATCACTCCCATCTGGTGGCAAATCCCACCAGGAGTTAAGATTTTTGTCTCCTTTTTTAAATTCTTTCAGTGTTCTGGAAGTTACAAGTGACAGAAATCCCCATTTTTTTCAGGGAGGTGTTCGCCTCGGCTCTTAAAAATAAAAAAAAAAAATAAAAAAAAAGGAAAAATAAGACAATTCCCACTGCAAAGTTCAGCAGGAGGGATCCAACCCCCAGAGATCCTTCCCAAAAAATCAGTGTACTAAGGCTGCTGTCATAGGGGGCAGGATCTGGCCCGGAGCAGAGGGAAAACCAGAGGCCTTTTGGAAAGAAAACAATATTGGATAAATTAAGCACAACCAGCATCACATCCCGGGCCCCCACCGCTGGGATAACCCCTCCAGGTGCCTCTGCATCAAAATATTCCCCTTTTAATTTGTGGTTTTTTTCCTTTTTTTTTTTCTTAAGGAAATCGTGAAAATAAACAAACAAACAAAAAAATCATCGCTTTGGGAAGCAGCCTCCCCTCCCAGCCCTCCCCGACCACCGGGAAACAGCCTTTTTTTTTTTTTTAATTTTAGTTCCTTCTTCCTCTCATTCCTATTTTTCCATCAATCCCCCTCCCATCCTTCCTCCCCTGGCTCAGTCTGGGACTGTTTTTGTCACTAACCCAGCGCGGGAGGGTCTGGACCCTTCGGCACATCCCGAGGGAGGGCGGGAGGGAGGGAGGGATGCACGGGGGGGGGGGGGGGCTCTGCAGCAGCTGAAATGCGGGAAGAGACCTTGCTCTGGCCAAAGAACCAAAGGAAACCGAGTCCTGTGGCTGAAGGAGGAGAGGCAAAGGTGGGGAGGGGGAACCCGGGAATGCTCAGTAGGGAACCCCCCGGCCCCGGCCCCCCCTCGGAGGCACTCTGCCAGGCCCTCGGAACACCTTCCCGTAGGAAGACGGCGCCTGGGTGGGGGTTCCCCAGCTGGGACCCGTCCCTGCCCCGCTGGAACCGGCCGTTCCCGGCCCCAACTCGCCGTAGCTCTGGATTTTGGCCTCGGGGTGTCCCAGGGCGTTGTTGCTCCCCTCGGATTTGCCGAAGGATTGCCCGAGCGCGTGGAGGCCGACGGGGACTCTGGCGAAACGCAGGTCCTGGTCCCCTGGGAACTGCACCGATCCCGTGCCCTGGTAGTTGCTGGTCTCCCCGAGGTGGCTCACGGAGCCCAAGAAGGTCCTGCTTTTCCCCAGGGGTTGGGCAGAAGGTTCTAGAAGCGTCTGGCCCGAGTTCAGCTCCTCGGCACCGAATCCCCCCTCGGAGCCGTCGGCGCTGTAAGTCCTGGTGGGGTGGGAGCGGCCGTAGTCCCTCGGGGCCGGGGGCTCCTGCGTGGCTGTGGCATGGCCGGGCAGCTCCGTGTCCTGCTGGGAAAGGAGCTGGAGCAGCGCAGCCGTCACGGCCGGATTCAACTCCTGGGCTGCTCCGGAGAGATCCCCTTCGGGCACGGGAGGAGGCGGCGGCGGTCCGGGGGGCTCGGGGGGTCTCTTCTCTGGAGGGACAATGCCAGGAGGACACGCTGTGGAAGGGTGACTCCTTTTAAACACCGTTTCAAACACACACACGCACACAAAGACATTTCACAAGCAAACCAAACCGATCCCTGCCGGGCCACCCGCGCCGGGAAGAGGCGGAGGGAGAGTTTTAAGGCTCCTCGGTGGGAGATCAGGGCAATGTGTTCACCCAAAAGGCCTCATGGTAACAGCTGTCCTAAAACACCCGGGCACCAGGGAGGGAATTCCCACTCCTGGATAAAAAGGTGGATATGGAGCCACACGTGGAGCCACACGCCAGCCCCGCGCTCCCCAAAGCCGGAGGGACGCGGAGCCACCGGAGTGTGGCCAGGATGTGCTGGATCAGACAGACACAAAGCCAAGCCCAACCACACAGAGCCCAGCTCCTCACTGCTCCCACAGCATCCCACGGGGAGCAGGACACCCGTTCCTGCCCCCTCCCACCAGCCCCAGCCCTGCTTCCCGACCTTTCCAACACAAGAGTCCAAAACAACCTCACCCCCCAAATATCTGCACAGAGTGGCCTGAGCCTAAGGAAAACCTTTTGCTTCCTCCCCCCCTGCCCCTCTCTCCTTTATTTCCCCCCAAAAATCAGGATTTGTTTCCAATTAGGATTTGTTTCAAGCCCCTCCTGACAAGAACAAAGCTCCATCAGGCCCCGGTCCCCCCCAGCTCTCACTGCTCTGGCACAGCCCCTGAGGCAGAGGGAGCACAAATGGGCCTGTCTGGGAGGTGGGAGAGGGGAGCAGAGCCCTGACCCTCCCCTGAGGCAGTGCCACACGTGTGGGTGACACCACAGGTGACACCACGGAGGGGAGGACGTGGCTTCCCGAGGGACACGACCTGCTCCGCTCCCAAAACCAGCCCTGACTCCTCCCTGGAGCAACACACCTGAGCTGCCTCCTGCCCCTCACCCACAGGTGAAGGAATTACAGAGGCCACGGACACCTTGTTGGAATCACATCCTCAAATCACTGGCAAAACTGGTTATTAAAAAGGTCAAACTTTATTGTGAAAACCAGTAGTCTTCCAGGACCACCCCTCCACCCGTATCCATCAGTCCACTTTGAAAACTAGATTGTATTGAAATCCAGGAGGAAAAAAAAACAAAAAACCAAAACAAAAGAAAAAAAAAAACAATCTTCAGGTAAATTTGTAAAGCCAAGCTGATTTGGGGACAGCAATTCATTCCAAAAGAGTTATCAACAGAGAACAACGGCATGGAATTCCATCTGCTCTACAGTAACCTAGTTATCTTCCAGGACTAGGGCAACAACAACAGAAAAAAAAAAATAAAAAATAAAAAGCACGATCACAACTGGCTCGTGGTGGGCGGGTGTTGAAGGCACGAGAACACAGCACGTTCAGCTACATTGCAGGAGGTGGGATCGGGCCAAAACAGGCTCCCCGGAGAGTCTGAGACAAACCCAGGAGGCGCTTCTACAACTGGGTGAGGTCGTCACAGGCTGTGGCTAATAAATTCAGAAAATCAACAGAAACAAGAGACATGGAGAATCATTGACACTCACCTTTGGCAAGGAAATCCGAGACTTCACCGACACAACTGCTGCTCTTAAAACTCTCTCACTATGAGAAGCTGGATTTCGGGGCTTCAAAACTGAGCTGGTTTTATTTCACAACTGCCACTATCCCTCTCTCCCTTCAGCACTCACCAGCATTTCAGTTCCTTTAAAAATCATCTCTGCGTGTTTATTTATTTGTTTTTTATTCTCGAGAGGGCAGGAAGGGCACGGTGAAAAATACTTGGGGCGACCAATAAGATGGGAAAATCCACAGAGATTCCTGTGCAAAAAAAACCCCTCCCTGGATGTGCCAACTGCTCGCTGGGGGTGGGTGGAGAAGAACCGACCCTCCAGACTTCCCTTTCATTTTTGGGGAAAACCCCAAACCTTTAATTAATCTTCACTGAAACCCATTCACAGTGGAGCACTAAAGGATTTTAAACTAATATTTGCATGTTTTGGCTGTTTGTAGTTCAAACCTCCTGAGCAGCCCAGCACTCACCGCAGGGAGGGGGGCACTTCAAAACCTGAGGTCTGAGCACATTCTACCCATCCCCTTCCCTCCTCCCTTCTCCCAGCGCTCCAAGCTCTCATTCCTCCTGGAAACCAGACCTACCCCGCTCCCTGGGACGCTTCAATTCCTCAAACACGTGAGTGAGGTTTGATTTATTTACCTGAGCTCTCCTCCGGGTGCCTCGTCGGGGTTTTCCGGGGCGCCCGCTGCTCGCTGCTCTTCTCCCCGTTGCTCTCCTCCAGGGATGGGATCCCGGGCTCCTGGCTCTTCATGAGCTGACTCAGCAGAACCGCCAGCACGTTCTGCATGTCTCCCTGAGCGCTGGCTGCGTCCGGAGTCTGCTGCTCCTCCGGCACCTCCGGAGGGGGCTCCTCTATGGCTTCCTCGGGCGGCGCCGCCGGGGGCTCGTGGTGCTGCGCCGTGGCCTCGGTCAGCGCCGTGATGGACTGGTTGAGGGCCTCCAGCTGCTGCTGCATCTCGGGGTTCGAGTGCACGTTCAGGAGCTGGGCCATCTGCGGCACGCTCAGGTCGGTCTGGCTCTGCAGCAGGTTCAGGAGCACGGCCAGCTCGCTCTGGTTCAGCTGCTGCGTGATGTCCCCGAGGCCTGCGGGACACGCCGGGAGGGGACGAGAGGGGAGAGTCACTGCCGGGGGGGATTTGGGGTCCTGGCACTGCTCGTGGAAATGGACACCCCTTGCCCATGTCTCACAGCAGTGAACAGCCCTTCTCCACATCCCACAGCACTGAACAACCCTTCTCCATATCCCACAGGCATGATACACATCCCACAGCAAGGAATCCTCCTTCCACATATCCCATAGCCCTTCCCCACGTCCCACGGCCATGATCCACATCCCACAGCAAGGAATCCCCCTTCCACA